GGAGTTTAATCACTCATAGAATGTGTGCTGACCACCAGGGTGCGGTGTGGAATGAAGGAAGACCCTGGCCGGCAGCTGGAAGGCCCCAATGGGCCCTCATCACCAGCCAGGCCTGGGGGATCCTACCCGTGCACAAATTCCGTGCACCGGGCCTTCAGTTTTACAAAATGGGTTATAATCATAAGTTGTCATGTAATCATTTCGTAGCGAGAGGGGCAACTTTGCTGTGCCTGTGGCTTCTCCTGGAGCCCTGGGCAGCACCCCCTGAGCTGTCTTCATTTCCTCCGGCTGAGGGTTTACCATGTTGCGTTTATGCTGAAATAGCAAGTCGTTAAGAGGTCGCACCCGAGGTAAAGGAAGTCCATCTCCATGCGCTTTATCTATAAAGCGAATAAAATTATTCTGATGACCAACAAACACCAAGCTTAAAAAAGTACTTCCACAGACAGGCTACACTCTGTGAATGGTGGAGCTTACGTTAATATTCATTTTCACATTAGAATAGCATATGTAATAAAGTTCTGAGATAAGAGAAATGCTACCGTAGCTGGTGGATAATTTTATTATTAAGACCCGATGTTTTACGGACACCTGTGATAAAGGAGACTGTATGACTGAGCTCGGTGGGGAGACACAATGAAATCACCATTGGGTGGGAGGGTGAAAGCTGTTAAAAAGGGCTTTGATTGCTTGCAAAAGCTTAATGTACTCCGAAGGGGTAACGGTTTTCGGAAAATCACTGCCCACTCGGACCGACGTGAGGGTCAGGTGCCCACCGATGGCGACATCTCTGAGGTGCAGGTAACTGGTCCAGGTCTGCGGTCAAACTTTCCACCAAGTCCATGTCTAAGGCTGGCCACCTCCGCTCTCTGGGACTCTGTGTTCTCACCGGTGAGACAGGTATAACAGGACACTAATGTTTACCTCAACCGGGCCACATGTGTACCCTCCCAGAAACCGCCCCCACCAAACCCACTTCCGCTGTCAGCATTGCTGTGGTCTAGGGGCTGGGGCTGTTCTGGACCATCCCTCCTACCCCTTTACAATCATGAAACCAAAGAAGACATGTTGACCTTGGCTCCTTACGGTGTGCCACACGCACACTCACTATTCACCATGAGACATCCTTTGTGTAGCGTTTATAACGGAAGTCTGACAGAACACAACCTCATTCCGTTTCTAGGGCCGTGGCCTGTTTAAGAACACACTCTGCATGGAAGCATAGAGAATACACGACAAATCGATGAGGAGAATCAAAGCAATTAACGAAGTTGAAGCAGGAGAATCCTCTAGAATAGAGTCGGGCACCGAGACAGAGTCCCACTGAGTTATATTCGGGTCATAAACATCATTCTGGCTTTCTCACCCTTTTTAAGCAAAGAGACACCTGGTTGGATGAATAATTCTCGGTGTCCAGAAAGCGCGTGTGTTTTTAATTCTGCAGGACGAGTGCAGCCGTACCCAATCCCGAGATCCAAACGGGAGTCCCTCAGGTTCCCACCGAAGCTCCGTGGGTGCAGGCAGCGCTTCCCCCCTGCCGGGCTCGGGGAGGGGTGTGCTTCCTGCCGGCTCCCCGCAGCTCCTCTGTGCGGGCTGAGGAGCTCACTCCGGGTCGGCCATATAACTTAGCCTCCTCATCGAGACAATGTGAACAAGAAAACAGGCAGCAACTAGCAGGGAAAGCAGGTGTAAGCAAAGTGTCCCAGACACAGCGGGACGGATGGTCCCCTGCGCTGAATCCATCTAAAAATATTATTCTGCAGAGACTGAGAGAGGGAGGGAGCAGCTGCTAATTTGGTGAGCTCCAGGGACACAGCACTCTGCTGGGGTAATGTACTCCTTCTCCTTTTCTTTTTTCCTATGTATTTTTATTGATTTCAGATAGGAAGGGAGAGGGAGAAAGAGAGGGAGAGGGGGAGAGAAAAACATCAATGAGAGAGAATCATTGATGGGCTGCCTCCTGCATGCTCCCCTCTAGGGATCGAGCCTGCAACCTGGGCATGTGCCCTGATCCGGAATCAATCTGTGACCTCCAGGTTCAAAGGCCAATGCTCAACCAGTCTACCTTCTCCATTTCTAATCAGCAGTGGCAATAGTGACATGCCAGAGCCATCGATGAGGCCAGGAGCTCACGTGTCCTGCATGCCCGGGGCTCATGGGCAGGAAGTTGGCAGACTCTGTCTGTCTGAGGTCGCCCCACCCCACCAGCTGCTTTAGCCCAGCCTCGGAGCTAAGAATGGTTTAGCTGGAAACAATCAAAAGAAGAATACTGCTCTCATGTCACAGGAAAATTACCCAAAACAGAATGTCCAGGAATGGGGAGAGGAAGAGAGAGGGGAAGAGGGAGGGGAGAAAGAGGAAATGAGGGAGCATGGGGAGAGCAGGGCAGTCACAGAGCGAAGAAGGGCGGCAGGGAGCATGGAGGGAGGGAGAAGAGGAGCCACTTTGTTGGTCTTACTGGGAATTTCTGCTGAGGATGTCGGGGCCTCTTCAGATAAGAGGACGTTGATTGCTGACACCATCAGAACATGGTGTTAGGAAAAGCGTGATGACAATATTAGCAACAATCACATTCACAGTCAAGAAAGACAGATGATAATGAAGCTCTTGGGTGCACTGAGAGAAAGGCTTATTTTGAGGGGAAAACCCAGAATGTGCTAATTCCATGTCCAATCATCAAAGCCTAGCCCAGGGGGAGCCTGAGGTCCCGAGGAGTTGCTGTCGTGGAGGAAAAGTCAGTTCAAGGTCACGGGTGGAGAGGGGCTTTTCATGAACAAGCTGTGTGCTGGATAACCTGGAGCTGAAGATCGAAAATCTTCAGGAAATTTAGGAAATCTTTTCAGCCAATGTAATTAAAATAAATTTAATCATCTGAAAGGAAGTTATTCTAAAACTTTTGAAGTTGATCAACAAGATGTCATAATCAAGCCCTGGCCGGTATGGCCCAGTTGGTTGAACATCAACCTATGAACCAGGAGATCACAGTTCCATTCCTCATCAGGCCACAGGCCTGGGTTGCGGGTTCAAGCCCCAGTAGGGGACGTACGTGCAGAAGGCAGCCAATCCATATTTTCCACTCTCATATCGATGTTTCACTGGCTTTCGCCCTTCCTCTCTCTAAAGATCAATAAAAATATTTTTAAAAGGATTCATATTCAAGATACTAGGACTAAAGAAGTGTGAGGGAAACGGCCTATCTGTTGGCTTTCGGCCATTCTCTGTCAGAGCTGCTGAGCGGAGAGCCGGGAGCGGAGTAGGAGAGGGACAGCCGGCACAGTTTGCAGGTGCGAGCAAGAGCAGGGACTAGTGTTCGCCGCAGGAAATTTCCATCGGTTACTTTAACAACTCAAATAACTTAAGTGATGATATATTCTATTTCATAAAACACTGTCCTTTGAGATTTTGAAATTAATGTCCTGCAGTGTAATTTACACCAGGCAGAATTTTTTTTAAAGAAAGACGTACTCTGCCCTGGAGTAGCACATTCTTTGCTGTATCCCCAAAGGACTCAGGCAGGCAAGTCACAGAAGAAGAAATAAAACGAGGGATGCTTTAGCACATCTCTTGCAAATCCAATCATCCTGAAACCGACAACAAGAGGCCCCTCCATCACAGGCAGAAGCAGGGGAGACGGGCGGGGAAGGATGGGCCTCCCAGAGCTATTTTTTTATTTTATTTGTGAGAACATGTCTGCAAGTCGAACAGAAATAAGGAGGAGGGCGGAGAGAGGGAGAAATCATCTCACGAAAGAGATCATGACTGTGAAGAGCACAGGATTTCAGGCATGATGGTAAAGATATCTCCCAACATTTGCAAAATAGAATCCTGGCGGCATAAGGGATGTGCATTCAGCCAGGGCTCAATTAAAGAGGTGCTGGCGTGGAAGGAGAGATTGCGGGGTGTTTTTAAAGAGCTCCCCAGAGCGGGAGAACACAGTGGTCCCCTGTGGGACCCAACCCTCCCCATCACACACACACACTCACACACACACACACATATACACACATACACACTCACACACACAAACACACACACACACATACACACATACACAGTCACACACACATACACACACAAACACACACATATATACACACACACATACACACACAAACACACACATATATACACACGCATATGCACACACACAAACACACTCACACACACATATACACACATACACAGTCACACACACATACACACAAACACACACCTATACACACACAAACACACACAAACACACACAAACACACATACATATACACTCACACACAAACACACACACATATACACGCAAACACACACATATACACACAGTCACACACACATATACACACAAACACATACACATACACACACATATACACACACACACAGACACACACACACACTGCTCTGCCTCTGAACTGAGGGCTGAGTGCAGTCCCCGCCATGCACCGGCCTCTGGTTTATCTTTAAACACCTCCCGGCGCTGCCCACCTCCCAGGCGAGGTCTCGCTCACGGGGACCCTGCAGGATTCTGCCGCGGACTCCGCTGTCCGGCCTCGGGAGAAGGGATGCAGCCATGAAGAAGCAGGCCCCCAGGGGCCAGCGGTGGGGAGTCACACAGAACAGGGAGAGGAGGACCAAGCCAGAACTTCCCGGGGCTTAGAGAATCGCCACGGGGCTATCCAGAAGCCTCCCGTCTGCTCCCAGGACACCGCTGGGCACCCAGGGAGCCCGGTGGAGCTGCCCCACAAGCTGTTCAAGAGCGCCGTGCGACCTTGTGCTCCATCCTCATGCCCATGCCCCTGCTCTCCGCAAGCCGTGTAAGCACCCGAGGGGTCTGTAAGGGTTGTAAAAACTGTCCTCCTCTCTGTACACACACACACGCGGCCAGCCCCAGGCAGGCTGCCATGGACTAGAGGAAGCCTCGGGGGCTTCCAAGCCCCACGGGGCTGCACCGATGCAGCCATGTGCTGCCAGATGCTGGGCTTGCAGGGCTGTGGCCCGGCACTTACAGGCAAACTGCAGCTTCGCTTCTCTGCTGACGATGGTTCCGAGCGCGTTCGTGGCGAAACACTGGTAACTCCCCGCGTCCCGATCCCGGAGGGGGTTCACGACCACCAGGTCGCCTCCGTCCAGCGAGTAATGGGACTCCACGCCCAGGTCAATGTCGCTTCCGTTCAGCTGCCATCTGGAGAAAAAGCAAGGATTTTTCCCTCTTAGAATATACATAGAGCCCAAGAGGACACTGAATATATAGGTTAAATCACCCTTATGAAGTCCACTCCAACACCCTCTCCTATAAACCATATGGTTGCACTGATTCCTAACTGCCACTGGTACAAGCCGAGGTCTTCAACAGCAACCACAGGCCGGCGGATATGGAAACCCGGGCAGCACGGCATCTAGAAGTCAGAGTCTCCCCGGGATTTCCTGAAAAGTGAGAGGGACGTGGCGTGCTCGCCCAGGAAATCAGGCTGGGCCTGGGCCAGCCGCGGGAGGTAGAACATCGAGGTAATTGCCTCGCACGTGGCCAGCGATCTCATGCTGGCCAGGAGTGGGGAAGGGCACATTTCTGTGATTTATCCGGACCGACTGGGCACATTTAATACACTAATTGGGTAAGTGCTCTGCTATCCATTTCCATCTGGCTGGGTAAACACCTGTCCCCGAGGCGCACACTGTTCTTCTAAAAAGCCATCACGGTGCTATGTGCTGGAGAGTACTCGGTGGTAAAAATCCCCAAATGTCACCTCAGGGGGTCAGACCAGAACAGGCACGGGCCCCAGGGCCATATTTACCAACAGAAAACCAGAGGGAAAAAGGGGAAGAGAAAGAAGCTGGTGTTAAACAAGGGTTTGAGTGTATCTGACACATCAAAGTAGATGTCACATTCAGGTTGTTTTTTTTTTTTTAAATATATTTTTTTATTGATTTCAGAGAAGAAGGGAGAGGGAGAGAAAGATAGAAACATCACTGATAAGAGAGAATCAGTGGTCAGCTGCCTCCTGCACATCCCCTACTGGGGACCTAACCCATAACCGGGGCATGCGCCTTGACTGGGAATGGAACCATGAGCTTCCCGGTTCATAGGTCTATGCTCAACCACTGAGCCACATCAACTGGGCTATTTTATTTCTTCATCACCAATTATCTCCTCTATGCCCTCTTCCACCTCAACCCAACTCAATAGTTCCCCACAATCCCCACAATGTTGTCCAGGTCCATGAATTATCTTTTCTTTTCTTTTCTTTTTTTTTTTTTTTTTTTTCCTTGTTGCTCAATTCCTCATCCCCATCACAGCTGTCAGCCTGCTGTCTACGAGTCTGCCTCTGTTTTGCTTGGCACTTCGGTTTGTTCCTGAGATTCCACATATGTGTGAAGTCATGATAGTCATCATTCTCTGACTGGCTTTATACACTTAGCCTAATGCTCTCCAGGTCCATCCATGCTATTGCAAAGGGTAAAGGCTATTCCTTTTTATAGCAGAGGGGTACTCCATTGTGTGAATGTGCCCAATGGTTACTCCAGCATTATTTACAACAGCCAAGATTTGGAAGCAGCTAATTGCCCATCAGTAGGTGAGTGGATAAAAAGTATTTCACCTTTAAAAACGTACCCATGTCCTACCCTCCTCAGAATGCATCCACTGTGTAAATGGAGCCATCTCTGTTCCCAAAGATTTAATTCTAGCAATAAAGCCACATGAGTCCATAGTCTATAAATTTTAGCACACTAAAATAAGAATTTCCATTATGATATTCTCTTTATGAGGATTTTGAGGAAAAGGGTGACATAACACCTTTTTCCTAGATGAGAATTTCAATAAAGCAGCTCAGTGAGTCAGTAACTGTCCCATGTGTATTAATTGGCCAGAACAGAAGTGATACCCATTTTAATTCCAGCCCGAGTTCTTTAATCATGTCATGGACCATCTAAACTTGTCTCATTAATATATAGAATATTTAACCTGGACATACTATGCACTATAAAAACATTTAAAAAGATGAAATTCAAACTTTATCCCAAGTGGATAATATTCCAGAAGTTAAATGGAATATTATACCACTGCGAAAATGTGAGAAATTTCCTACACACGAAAAAGTCTCACAAACTATGGTTAATAAAAATGAAAATTGAAATATGCAGTTGGATACTGTTTATATAAAGTTTTAAAACACATCAAGTCATATTAGGGCTGTTTGAAACCCATTTTTATTGTACAAAAATGATACACCTCAACTTAAAGGTATTTTAAAGCTCTGATGGAGAGAAAGTAGAATGTATTTAAGGGCAAATGCTGGGAAATTTAGCATTTTTTGTTTTATTTCTTAAACTGAGCTATGGTTATAAAAAGATTCATCATTATTCTTGATTATATGTCTACATCATATCCTATATTTGATGTAGTGTGCAATGAAACTTGAATGATGGAGACTAAAGGAAATGAATAAATTCATAAGTTTAGTCCCTAGTGCTTAAGAATGTATCATTTGCTCCCTTTTAAAATCAAGAATTTCTTAACTTGTCTTTCTTTATTCACATACAAGTCTCCTAGGTCTAAAGCAACATTTCTTCTGAGAGACCAAATTAAACTTAAGAGAAAAAACTCAGGCCCTAACTCTTTTCCTTTGAACTTGAAAAGAACAAAATCACAAAAAAGGAAAAGGAAGGGCTGCGAGCTTGTTTCCAGAAGAATCCGCTATATTTCTCTATTTATAACACAGTAACTCTCCCATGATCCTTCCCAGGGCAAGTTCATAATTGCATGAACATTTTGGGCCATTTTCTTCTATTTTAACTTTAATTCTGTCCTTATAGTTTGGAAGTCAAACCATAAACATGTATTAACCCTCTCATCTTCTTCCTCCCCAAATCCTAGAACTACAGAAACTCAAAAAAGGAAATGAAACAAAGAAAAACTGTCCATCTACAATACATTCTGTCCAAATACTCTGTATGCTTGATACACAGTGGTGGTCTGAGGACCAGCATCACCAGCATCACCACCACCACCATCACCTCCATCATCCTCAGCATTACCATCATCACTATCATTACCACCACCATCATCATCATCATTATTACATTCATTACCATCGATACCATCATCACCATCACTACCATCATCAACACCATCATATCAGCATGAGTGTCACCACTATTAGCATCATAATCATCAGCATTGTCACCATCATCACCACCATCACCATCATCATCATTATTACCATCATCACCATTGCTACCATAATCACCATCACCACCACTGCCACCACAGGCATCTGGGCGTCTGTTGGACATGCAGATCTTGGGCTCTATCTTATATCTACTGGGTCAGAGTTGGCATCCTAAGAGGGATTCAAGGTGTTGACTGTTAAGCACACACAAGCTGGAGAAGATCTGGTCCACCTTACACCCAAGGAGCACCCATGGGAAGACTCTGGGAAACACAAGTGGGTAAGAGCTCCTGCTCTTGACTTGGCCCAGTTCATGTTCAACAACTAATTACAAAGCCCTCCTCCCTCCCTCCCACCCCTTCCTGAGAAAAACACCGAGTTCCTATATGTCAGGCAATTCTCTAGTTTCTGTGGATGTGGTGAGGTGGGTCCCTGCCTTCATGAATCTTCATGTTGGTGGACTGTATCCTGTTTCCTTCCCTGACCTCTGTTAGGCCCAGGCCCTGGCTACTCCTGCCGGGTCACAGCCTGATGAACCCAGCGGGGATCCAGAAGCAAACACTCCCTGCAGCTGTGTGACCATACATAAATCACTCACCTTCCCTAGGCCCAAGTTTTTACCATGTGGAATGAACAAACGCCATCTTTTCCATAGGATTGCTCTATAACTTCATTTATGTAGACAATGGATGCAAAGCTTGTAGCTCAACGAGCCTCTCAGCCAATGGGGAGGCGCCCTCACAGGCGGCCAGCCTTCTTTCCACCTCATTTTTCTCTCTCCCCCCACCCACCCCAGATTGTTAGTTATATGTTCCCTCCTTCACTCAGGGCTTCCGGCCCCTCCTCCCAGGTGGACGACTGTGTCTGCATGTATGGACTATCTGACACCTGCCTGAGAAGCCAGGGGAACTGAATGAGAATCATGGCGGCTTCACCTTCGAAGAGTAGACCTGTGGGGACATCACAAGAGGGTGGCGGGCTACAGCGTAACCTGTGAGTGGTGTGCAGTGGGAAAACTGCGCTGAGCTCAAGTCAGGCGAGATGCAGCCGAGCTCACAGTTTTGAATGGAGTCTTCTCCTGACCAAGGGTACCTGTGTTTTCGGTCCCCATGAAGTTCAGTTGGCATGCGGGGAAGAAAGAGATTTTAGCTCCTGAGTTAGGTTTGTGGCCAGTCCTGGCCCGTGTGGCTAAGAGGTTGGAGCATCAGAGGATGCACCCGAGGGTTGCAGGTTCAATTCCCAGTCAAGGGCATGCACCTGGGTTGCAGGTTCCATTCCTGACCCTGGCTGGGGTGCATGCAGAAGGCAACTGATCGTGTCTCTCTCACATTGATGTTTCTCTCTCCCTCTCTCTCCCTTCCACTCTGTAAAGAAAGTCAATGGGAAAAGAAATAGAACGTTTGTGGCCAGACTCAGCATTTGAAAACTGACTTCCTGTGTTTCTCTGTTGAATGAATAGGATACAGTGACTATGTGGAAAACTATGAGATAAATAAGAGTTGGGAGAAGCCGTTCCTCCTTCCTCTGAGCTAGCTGGAGAGAGTTAGGGGCCGTAGAGTGTGGGGTGAATACTTTATCACAGTAGTTGTCTCCCATCTAAAAGCCATCACCCTGAAGTTCTGATGAAGAACCAAAATGGAAAAGGTTGCTCCGTTTGCATAAATATTTCTTACTTCCACCGGCTCAGTCTTCTTTCCAAAGCCACGGTCCCTACGTCATCACACTACGAAAAAGGCAGCAATGACGTCTTGAAGTGTGCTCCCACCACGGCAGAGGACGACGCATTGCTTTCAGCTGCCTGCCCCCTCCCCACCCCGGAGCGCGGGTGCATTGGGGAGGCCTCGGAAACGCTGCTTCTCTCTCCACAAAGACGCATGATTACTTCCCACCCTCCCATACGAGTCCTCGTTAGTGGAGCTCATCCCCAGGTGACAGAAAATATCTTATTAAATATTGATTGTTTTCCCTCCTGCTGAAGGTATGCGGATTCAAAAGAGCTGTCTTTGTTTCAACT